TCTAACTGCTGTCTAACTGCTTACACCAAGGAACCGGGGTCCCTCTTAGAAAACAGGGCAAACCCTAGGCTCTCACACCAGATCCCGCAGGACCTTTTGTCCCTGGATCGGTACACAACTGTCACAATAAACATAGGTCTCTCCCAGTCCCACTGAGTGCTGGGAAGGGTCAGGAAGAAACAGAAGGAGAGGAGGGGTGAGCAGGCGACAGGCACACAGGGAACAGGAAACCCGGCGCAGCCCCCCTGGGTTGTTGGCGACTGTCACCAAGCCTGCCTGCAAAGCCGAGAGGAACCCAAAGGCAGGACTCTCCGTGCAGGCAGAGTGCCAGGCTCTCAGCCAGCTACTCCCGAGCGCATCCACGCTCCCGCCTTGTCCCCGCACGACTGCACAGGCAAAGCGTGTGCTTCCCATTCAGCCTGCCAAAGGCATCACTGCCACTGAAGCATCCTCCCTGCACCAAGCGGGGCTAACGAGCAGGAGGAGGGTCAGCACATGCTGAGGGCACGCTGGCAGTGGCAGTGCTGCCCGATCCCCCTCTGCTGCGCAGAATTCCTCGGCAGCTCCTGGACCGATGTAAGAAATGGAAGACACAACTTGCAAATGATGCTTTGGAAAGGCTAGCAAAGAGCGGAGCGGGGCTCTTCCCTAGGTCCACCCCCCAAAAAAACATGTGTATTTCAGCACTGTGTCTGCCAGGGTCAGATCCACACCTGCCCCACGAGGGTCTACATTCCCCTGAACTTGTGAGTCACAACTCTTGCAAACCCAGGGTCTGAATGGAGACAGCAACCCACGACAGGCTGGTGGCAGCCTGGTCTTTGGGGAGCAAACTGCTATGTTGAACCTGGGGCATGTAGGCAAACGCCTGCCCAATCGTCACTCTCTATTTGAGGCAGCGGGTCACTGGGAGGACCAGCTTATTCTCAAGGAACCCGCAGCAGATGTTTCAGCCTATGGCAGTGCCTCTGTGGGGAAGGGAGACAACCTCAGACTTCCCAGGAGCCAGGGGACAAGAAATTGCAGAGACCACATCCAGCCTGCTCTTCGCTAAGTGTTTTAATTCCTTCAAAGCCATTAGTGCCGCTCCCCTGAGTGCCTCTTGTACTGGAAGATGCTGCCTCCTGCAGTGCCTGGAAACCTGCTTTTTATTTCCTGGGTTGGACAAATTTCACAGCCAGTCCAAATCCAGTTGCTCTCATGCCAGGGATGCTCCAGGTTTCCTCCCTCCTTTGTACTCAGCTGGGTGTATTTATGGAGCACAGCCCCAAGTACCACTCACTTTTGCTTTATCAGGCTGAAGCAGCCAACTTCTGAGCCTCCTCTCAGAAAACACCCCAGCAACATGTCTCTTCCCCCTTGAATTCATTTTGTTGAATGTGGGCGACCAGCATTGGAGACAATGTCTGAGGGATGGATGCGTCACCCAGCCTTTCTACGCAGCAGAAACCCTTCTTGAGGCCGTTGGAAATCCTGTGACATCCCAGGATGGTGGGATGATAGATGATGTTTCTCGTGTCTTGCTTGTATGAGCAGCTCGTTACTCTCGTGTTACAGCTGGACATACCCGGATCCTTTCCTCTCTTCCCTCATTTCCCAGCAACAGGGTCCCAAGCAGAGCAGGCAGGGAGTTATCAGTGCCAGCTCTGCTGCTGCCTTTCATTCACTTCAGGACACCCTGCACCAGTTCCTCCAGCATGATAGCCCCAGGCTCGGGGTGGCTGTCATGTACCTCCACCACAGAGGGGGCTCTTGGGGAAGGGGCTTCCCTGAAACTCCCGAGGGAGAAGCTACAACCCTACAGCTGACCAGAGAAATCCCTGTATTACCTTTCAGTCCAAATGTCCCCGAGATGGATGGCTGCTCCCCCGTAAATTTCTTAGGAGTTTTCTGTTTCCTTCCTGACTCAAAAGAGAGAAACAGAGAGAGAGATTTGGTCAAATAACTGTACTGCTGGGGGGTTTCAGCAGTCCTAAGGCAAGGTGGGGGGCACACACTCCATGTCAGGAGTGGATTGCCTTGGGGAGGCCTTTAGCCCTGTGAAATATAGGGCTGTTGAATGAAGCAGCCACCCCACCAGACAGTAACAGGACGCTGCTTCCCACCCCACAAAAGCAGGAAAAATAATGCTATCCAAGGCCAGTTCAAACAGTGGAAGTCATGGCTCTGCCTAGCTCCAAAAGCCGCATGGTTTCGACAGCCGCAGCAGCTAAGGTGGCTGGTGGTGGTTCACTTTGGAGCTGCAAGCAGTGTAAACCCATCCATGCCTTGATGGGGACAACCGTGGCCCTGCCTGCCAGCCCCGCAGTGGTAATGGAGTGAGCCTCTCAGACATTTTTTGTGTTTTCCTTAAAAAAACAGATGCACACTGGTTTAAACTGCCACACTCGGTGAGGACAGACAGACTGACATGGCAGCTTGTTATGCTGCAGGAAATTCAATCCATTGCCAAACCTATAGGTCCTACAGAAATACCTCTAGCACAGCTGCAACCTGGTTTTAACTCTCAGTGGAACTCACTGTTGCAGGTAACCAGGGGGGCAAACTATCAGGATGTTGGAAAAAGGCTTGGATACATTCAGAGAGACACTGGCAGCAGAGCCCCTTCCCTTCCCGCAGGACATTCCTCTCTGGGCTCCTGAACCAGCGTAGCCCCAGGCTCTAATCTTACTGTGCTTCATCCTCTCGGGGTCTTCCTCCTGCAGTGAGGCCTGGCTGCCCCCCTGCTGCACCACATCCTTGCCACTCGAGGACTTCGCCGTGGGGGTGGCGGCTGCCATTGCCTCCGCTGCTGCGATCTGAAACTCCTTGCTCTCCCGGCTCTCTGCCAGGCACTCGCCATTCTCAGCGTGGTCCTGGGCCACGGCTTTTTCCGTCTTTGCCTGTTTGGGATGGATGGTGGGGCAAGCTGAACTCTCAGCAGCTCTAGGGCAAAGCACAGAGGGCTTGTTTAAAGAGGGGTTGTTAGAGAAACGTCCTGACACCTCTCCCCCCTTGCCAGCCCAGATCATGGGAATGGAGGTGGGCACACTCCCCTTCTCCCAGCCGTCCCTATGCCACCACCACGCAGCCCAGCCACAGCCTGGTACCTTTTCTTGCCACTACTCTTCCCAATGGCCTTCGGCACTTTGTTTTCTGCTTTGCTGGTTGGCACTGGCCGGTCCAAGTGATTCCAGAGCCGATGCTTTTCTAGCTGGGTTTTGGAGGTGAAGGCAGCTTCGCAGTACGAGCACGAATAGGTCAGCTTCTCTGAGATAGCACCCTGTGCAGAGCAGGCAGGCATGGATGTTAGATCACAAAAGGGATAGGCTTTTTCTGACACAGGCACAAACACAAATCGTGTGTAATACTCTTCTGCCCCTCCGTGGTTACCAACGGTCCATGATGCCCCCCAGGCCAGACCTCACACTGAGCTGGAGGGACCCCAGTCCCTCTCATACACACCTCACAAGCTGCCCCTGGCCCACCTCTGCCCTTCCCATTTTAATCTCACATTTTTCCTGGGATTCAAGACCTGAGAGGGGCTTTACCCTGTAGATGGCAGTGGAAGAGCTGGCCACTGGAAAGGACACACAGCCCTCCGGTCTCTTACCCCCTGGCAGCGCTGATAGTGGTACTTCAAGCCATAAATGCTGGGGAACTCCAGCCAGCAGCCTGAATTGGGACATTTCACCCTGGAGTGGGCTTTGAATTCATCCTTCCACTGGTTCATCAGGGGGAGCTGGGAACAGGAGAGATGAGAGACACAGCTGAACAAAGAGCACCGCGTGCTGGGTGCGTGCAGGTTTATCCCGAGGGGGCCGGAGGGGGCACAAGGGACCTCCAATCGTTCCTGTCCACCCCTTCCCACTGTGCAGCTGCAAAGTAGACCCCAGGGCTGTGTTTCAGTGCAGTGGTGCTCCCTCCAGTGAGGGGTGCTGGGATGGAGCTGCAGGCTCTACAAGCTAATGGCTCCTCCTGAGAATTTAACTTACCATGCCTCCCAGAGCGCACACACGCTCCTGGGCAGGCTGGGGAATAAATCAGGCCAGAAGTCACCCGGGTGATTTAACCACTCCACATTTCATCCAGTCAGTAAATCACCCCGTGCCCATGCTTTCACGACAAACTGCTCTGTGTGTTGTCCACGCTACCATGCTGGAATTAAACAGCACAACTCTGCGGGGAATAAATCACCCCCTTGCCAGTGCTGCCGGCTCATTAGGCAAACCTGATGTGTCTGAGAGAGAATCCAGTTCATCTGGGAATGGCCCCAGGAAGGGCAGGCTGGAGGAGGGTTACTGCTCCCCACCAGAGTTTTGGAGGATGCTGGGTGCTGGCATGGAGGGGATTTAGGGGCCAAGATCTTGCCGACTCCAAGACAAGGCTGCTCTGAAGATTAAACCACTGGGAAGGCAGGTTTAATCCTGAGCGAGGCTGGCTGGAGCGCACAGCGCAGCAAGACGCGAAGGGCAAGTCAGAGGGAGCGAGGTAGGGAGGGCATCAGGGATCAGAGCACGTGGGATCTTACGGGGATGTCTTTCAGCGCCTGGTTCTCGGCCTTGGGTCGTCCTTTCTTCCTGCCTTCGGTTTTGTCACTGGTTGCATTTCCTGCAAACAGATGCAGCACACGTCTCCCGCTGTCCGGCCAGCCGTGCTGGAGGAGCCACCATCCCGGCAATCCTGCTGCCTGGCCGGCTCCCTTGCTCCTCATGGGGTCTGCCTTGGCTCTGGGCTGCTGTGCCCTGGCCCTGGCAAGGACAGAGATTCCCCTTTGGAAGGGAATGCCAGCTTCCCTCCACTTCAGTGCACAGTCCCTACCCCTGCCGATGCCTGCATAGGCAACGGCTGCTTCTCCTGGGGTTTGCCGACCCCTCCTCCTTCATTTACACACGGCAGTTTCAGTACAGCTGGGGCTTGCTTTGGAAAACCATCCTTCCATTTGGGTTGGAAGAAATCCTTCAACTACACCACTTAGCAAAATAAATCTGCACATAGGCAGGGGTGCGGGGCCCTGGGTAAGCTGTTGAGGACAGAAATCCTCCACCCCCTTTGCATGGCCGGTGTGGCCGAGAAGCCCCAGGGCTGGAGAAGGACACTGGCCCAGGGGATGTGACAAGCACACAGGGAGCCGCAGGGGTGGGGATGGCCAGGGGGCAAGGACAGGGCAAGGCAGCGCTTGGGGGGCTCAGGTGTGGAGGAGAAGCCATGGAAACACCTTCGCAAGGGTTCATGGCTCTGTGTGTGCTCGGAGCAGACTCTTGCGGCATCCTGAGCACGGGCTAAATGCCAGTGGGGCAGAAACGTGCCCAGTTCAACCAGAAAGCGCAACCAGGGGAGACTACGAAGACTACAACTCCAGTGTCGCATTTGCGCACGCCAAACACAAGCACGTTAAACTGCCGAGCGCCAGACCAGATACTTCAGCTCACAATGGCAGCAAAGTCCCTGGTGTCACTTACTAGCCCAGAAGGCCTTGTCTGCAGGAGGTGGTGACCCTTATGGACTATAAGAAAAAGTCCCTAAAAAGCCAATTACCTGCCCGCCCTGCAAAGCGGCCTCTAAGCTGTCCCGAAAACATCCTGTCCGGTTTGGACTCCTACCTGCCTGGCTCCTGCTCCAAAACGGCTCATGCCCCGAAGGAGAGGGGAGGGTTTTGCAAGCTTGGCCCCAAACCGTGCTAGTTCTGGAGCAACTGTGCAGGCTTCATTCAAAACCCTTGTAGTGCCCGTGAAGGACGTTTGTGCACCGCAGCTGCCCTCTGCACTTTGTATTTTCTCCACTGCTCTTAGACCATGCACTCAGGGTCTTCCTCCATGCTCGTGGAAGCGAGAGCCTCAACCTGCACATGAAACGGAGCTACGTTTCTTGCACATCACGGGACTGCGTGAACTGGGAGTTTAGGAAAAAACACCAAATTATACAGGTTTTGCAGCAAAAGCTCACAAGACTGCCATTACCTGCTGATTGCGCTCCCTGTTTTCTTTCACAAACTCTTCAAAGTATTCCAAATTCAAAATATCCCACAGCAGCACACCCTCGTCCTTCCAGACAGCTCTCCCTGGGAGCCAGGTACGTCCGGGGCTGCGGCTTGCACAGATGCTCAGTGACAGCTCGCCTCTCCTTTTCACAACTTGCACAAGTTTCAGAACTTTCAGGGACGTTTTATGACAAACCAGTGCACAAGAGCACCCAGTCCAGTCACCCCTCAATGCCCTCATTGACCAGCTGCTGGCTGGGGACAGTGAGGACAGGGATGGGAGGAGCAGAAAACACGTCTCCTCTTCCTACATCCCACTCCCACACTAAACCCTGGACTTTCTAGACGCTTGCAGAAGACACGAACCTGGCAGTGCTCAGTGTCATGGCTGGCACTGTGGCCACACGCCCTTGCAGCAGGTCACCACAGCCGTGTGCCAAGTCAGCCGGGTGGGAACAGCACGCTCTTTAGAAAGGGGGGTGGCTTGTCGACGAACTCGAGGCTTCTCTGGACCAAGACCTGGCTTGGAAAGGATGCTCCCTGCACCAAGCAGGCTGCTGCATCAGAGGGGGCCAGCAAAGCGACTGCAGGGAGTTCCCTGTCTCCTCAGTCCACATCAAGCCTAATTCACCCCAAGCAAACATTTCCAGCACTTTCCTAGCTTCCTAGCTGGAAGTCCCAATAGCTTCATCACGAAGTGTCCTTCACTCCACCTCATCGCTTTTTCAGTCCACCTAAACCAGAAGGAAAGGCTAAAAAAAAAGGCGGGGGAGGGAGCACTTTTCTACTTTTAAAGGTGCTGATAAGATGTGGTGCAGGGAAAAATGCTCTCCTATACACAGATATGTTCACACCGCAGGCAGCTGGAGTTCATTCCCCCTAGCAATAAGTTACACCCTCTGCCAGCAATTACAGCTTCAACCGCCCCAAGGGAAGAGTGGCATTTGAGAAACACTTAGGGCACAGCTGTTTCCCGTGAGGCCACCAATTTTGGGTGTCTGGTCTGAGATACATCTCTGGGGTCTAACCCTCATTCTGCGTTCAGGCAACCCGCAGCGTCCAGGGCTGCCAGGGTAAAGACAGCAGAAGCCTCTCCGTGCCCGCAGAGGGGATCTGCCCAGCATAAGCAGACAGGAGAAAAATCTCCCTGGGGCTGGAGATTCCTGGATAGAGAAATCGGCTATCCATCAGAGTGACAGCCCTTAGCCAGCGGGTCCCCTGGGGCTCGTACGCTCGCAAGCCTCCATCCCGGGGGCTGCGACACGGGAACAGCAGATGGTCTGAACTCATTTAAGCCTTTCCATCCTTTGATGTAACGCTTAGCTACCAACACGATAAATAGGCGGCAGGACACCCATCTCGTTAAGCCAGATGCATGCCCCGCGAAAGGGAGAGGCCGTCTCCATCCCTCCCCTCCCATTCCCAGGGACCAGCTCTCTGCAGCTCCGAGGGCCTGGGGCTTTTTTGGCCCAGCACGGCCCACGCCGGTGGGTCAAAGTGAGGAGCAGAGGCGTGCTGAGACCTGATGCACTTGCAACCCTCGTTTTGGCAGCTGCCCCCCCCATCCCTGCTCCTGGGCTTATCCTCTGTGCCCCATCCACCCCCATGAAAATTAAAAAACTGTTCCTTACCGAGCTTGGGCAGCTCTGCTGGCGGGTTTATCCTCGTCTCTGTCCTGCTTTCTTTGCTGGCAGCGGGTTTGTTAGAGCCTGCAGTTTTCCTTCCACCTTTACAGGCATAGGAATCCGCCATCTCTGAAAGAAGCAGGGGAGGCGTTAAAATTCACTCCTTGGAGCCAGGAGCAACACATGCTGAAAGCAAGGAGAGCTGCTGGGGAGGGAGGGAAATTAGAAAACTACCATGCAGCTTAAAGGTTCCCACAAAGAGAAGAAACGGGGTGTGTTTCCGAGTTATTTGTTCTACGGCCGAGCAATGCCACAGCCATGTCTGAGAAGCTGCTTTCATTACAGGCTGGTTTCCCCTCCATGTATAATGGCAAAGACTTTATTAAAAATTATTGGCTGACTTTGCCCAGAGAAATAGCGAATAAATGGCTTTTCCTCTTCGTTTATTTCTCTGCTTTCATTTAAAACACCAAAAGAAAAAGAAAATAGTGAGTTTTAATGAACAGATGTAGTGATAAATTTCCAATTTTCCTTATTAATGGGAAACTGTTATAAACTGAGAATTGTTAATGTTATCTGAATTTTCCGTATTAATAATTCAATTTGGCTTCTCTATAAATTATGAATATCAGGAATTATCGCAGAAGGCCCAATCTCACTCCCAACGGAAGCAGGCAGCAGGATACCCCTCCACTTCGGTGGTGCCAGGACGAAGCCCACGGTGTGGCTGGCTCTGCCCACGGTTGGTTTCAGGAACTTTCCTCCCCTCCCAACAGCACAAGCAAAGACACATTGGAGGACGGGGGCTACATCGGGAGATGCTGCCGTACAGCCCCGGTGGAAAGGAGTCCTCCAAGCCTCCAGAATGAGAGCATCAAGCCCTTGGGAGATGATTCCCTGGACCACTGTGGCCTTGAGACCTCGGTCGGGACGTGATGCTGATGCTCAGCCAGGCACCGGCAGCATGTCTAAGGGAAGTGCCAACTGGTGCCTTCTTCACCTTTGCTCAACACTTCTCTCCCCCACACACAGGTTTTTTTAAAATACGGATTTGACTCATCACCCCCAGTTCCTCCCCGAGATTGCATTTGCATTGTTTAACTCTGTGGAGTTGATGCCCTGAGCATCCACACTCATCTCGCCTGTCCTCGTACCCAGAGGGACGGCGGAGGCCAGGGGAGCACCTCCCGTACGCCCGGGTCTCCAACCATGCCATCAGCATGTGGGACATGAGGGTCCAACAGTCCTTTCTGCGGTGCCCCTGGGGACTCTCCGCATGGGAACGGGCACTGTGCGCCACGTGCAGCCCCAGATGCTCCGAGAAGATCAGGGCAAAAGCTTCCAGCACGTGCTCGGCTGGTGACACATATGTGGCTGTTTGCATGGACACAAGGGTTAGTTGGATCAAGTGAGAAATTCCAGCCTTGGCAACATGTTCTCTGGCATTTGGTGCTGAACACAGGAATAATTTATTCAGTTAATTTGGGCTCTTTTGGTGGGAGACCCGGGCAGGAGCTGCAGCCTGACTGCCAGTGGCTCCTTCCCAGGGATGGCTGGTCTCCGGAGCTGGCACAGAGAGGGGTGCCTGCGGCCCCTTCCCAAATCACGGCTCCACTCTCACCCGCATGAGCACTGCTACTGTCCCCAATCCTCCGGGGATGAACATGCCAGTCATTTTCCTTCCTGTGCTGCCTCCTGGCACCTCTGCTCCTCTGAGCGATCCTCAATCATGTTACTCAAAGAAAAAAGAAAAAAACCCTCACAAAAGACCAGTGAACTGAAACCTGAAGATGATAAGATCTCCTCCGCGCTTTACAACGGGGTGAAAACCAAGGGGAAACCCACACAGCTGACACCTTTATCCAACTTGGGCTAGTGCTGAAACACAACCGCGCCGCGGCTTTGCCCCATGGGCCAGGCAGACATCCCAGGGGGAGAGAGGAGGGAGGGGCAGCGCCGGGCCCCCCATACCGAACGGCACCCACCAGCACGCTCACACCCCAAGCAGCGAGACACTCGGCACAGGTGGGCAGGGCTGCCGTCGGACGGGTGACAGACCACAAAACCTCCACCTCTGCCTTGCTGGGCAGCTCGAGGATGACACATGAAGGGCAATGCACAGGGCAGACCCCATCGAGCGCCGTGCTGCCCACCTCCTGCTTGCTGAGCACCCCACGGCAGCACACGCCAAACCACGGGAGCCGGGGCTGGCGCTCAGCATCCCTTCTGAAACCACCAGGTTCAAGGCGCCCAGCTCAGCCCCGCTCCCAAACGCTTCTCGTTCCCCCTAACCCATCTGTCCCCACAAAGGGATCCCTTCTGGCCAGCCTAGAAGGTTTTGAACGTCTTTTGGTTTTCCACACCAAATACTTCTTTGAATTTTTTCCCCCTTCTTATTTTTTGGCTAAATGAAAACTAAAAATCCCATAAACCACTTAATGAGAGCCAAACTCTGCTGCCTGGCCATCGATACAACCCCAGGGATCCCAGAGGAATTGCCCCAGAGCCAGAGAGCAGAAATCAGCCCGCTGCTGGTTTTTTTTGTAATGTCCAAACTTCTCACTCATTTTTGAGTAACACACACACTGAAACTGGGCAAGAGCTTGCACCCTTCCATGGTTTCATTTTGCTCTTGGTGAAAACGGGAGAAGATATCGGCGTCTCCTGCCTGCGAGCAGGGCTAGGATGTGGCATGGGAAGGTTGGGGCTGGCAGTATCTTTGCTGATGGTAACTTTTTAGAAGTTCATGGCAGCGTTTTCAAAGTGTCCCACTCCAGCTCCAGGAAAAAAAAAGCTCATGTCAAGATAGGACCCAGTGTGGGATGAGCGGAGCCCGAACCAGTGGTGCCAGGAGCAGGGGTGAGGAGGAAGCTGGCAGCTGGGGGAGCAAAGCCTGGGAGCCCGCCATGCCAAAGGCACCGCTCCCAAGCCACTGGCAACCCTGCCTGGCCGGCACAGCCTCACACTCCTCTGCCAGGCTTGACAAGGGTCAGCAATGTCCCAGCCACTCATCGCACCAGCAGGCTCTCTCCCTCCATGATAGGGCTCCTGTCAGGCTCTGCGGGTTGGGCGCTGCCTGGAAATTGGGCACAATCTGGAAACGGGGAAATAATTGCAAGCATAAATGCCCGTTCGTGACCTTGGCTGGGGTGCCCAGGAGCAGGCACACAGCCACGGATGGCTGCGACCCTCTTGGTGTCCAGACATCTTTAGGGCTAAAAAGAGGAAACGTCACCTGTGGGTCCTGACCACAAATTCTCCTGCTGGGACTCCCGCCCTGGTGCCATTGCTACAGACGCACCACGCCACGTGCTGGCTGGCCTGGCCACCCGTCGATCCACTCCACTTATCATTAATAATTTACCAATGGCTCTACATGTAAGCAACGCCAAAAAGACAAGCGAGCTGCCCTCCCCTGCCCTCGGTGCCCTGGCACAAGCAGCGTGCCAGGCAGGATGCGGGCAGAGATGCGACGAGGCCAACGCGGACAATGGACGCCAAAGGGCGCTGCC